ATTTTTGTAATGGTTAACTTTAGGCTATTTTAAAGCATTTCAACCACAAACTGTTAACTGATCATTAGCTTATTTTCACAGGCAATCATCTGACATGGAGGAAAGTTGGAGGGAAGAGGGATGTTTCACAGGCAATCATCTGACATGGAGGAAAGTTGGAGGGAAGAGGGATGTTTCGACAAGCCTGACATGCAGGGATTGAGGGAAGTTGTTTCAAGAGCCTACCAATGCAAAGAAAAAGTCACAGGAAGAGAGCTGAGCCCAGCTGACACTGCAATGAGGAGAGGTAGAGGCTGGAGGACTTTAAGCTTCACCTCACTGGAGTGAACAGTGGAGCTGAAGCAAAACACGTCCACTACTATCGCGGTCATCTAGGCCAAGTGATAACACGGTTGTCATCACGTCCACTACTATCACGGTCATCTAGGCCAAGTGATAACACTGTTGTCATCACGTCCACTACTATCACGGTCATCTAGGCCAAGTGATAACACTGTTGTCATCTTAGCACAGTTCTATTGTTCTGTCTTATTGTTACAGAATCCTGTTTCCCTCCAGTTAGACTCTTCTTTCTCCTATCACGGTCATCTAGGCCAAGTGATAACACTGTTGTCATCACGTCCACTCCTATCACGGTCATCTAGGCCAAGTGATAACACTGTTGTCATCACGTCCACTACTATCACAGTCATCTAGGCCAAGTGATAACACTGTTGTCATCTTAGCACAGTTCTATTGTTCTGTCTTATTGTTACAGAATCCTGTTTCCCTCCAGTTAGACTCTTATTTCTTTCATACTCAATTTGTTTTGTTGAGATGAACTTTTGAATATGTACTTGACAGATACCGGTACCTTTTTTTCCCCAGGTTTCTTTCAAAGCTTATTACAAGCAGATTTCGTTGCTGTTCGTTTTGGGACATAAGGTTTATTTGCTAGTATTTTTATTTCCTGTGCCATAATACTGCATGTGGAGTAGTGTGCCTCAGTATATTATCCCTGGCTTTCTCCATGATAATCATTATTGGTAATTGCATTGTAAGTACACTACAAAGTTGAACATATATTTATCGGTCTTGTCACTCTTATGGTTCCTGTTTGAAAGGTAGCCTACAGCCTTACAGATCAGATTAGAAACACAATGTATATCTTAAATGTATATCTTAAATGTATATCTTAAATGTATATCTTACAATTGTCCAGTAGCAAGTTTTGCACAATCCCATACAAACCAAGTGACGCTCAGAACACTAAATTCTACATGCAAGATTTTGTTCTCTCAGCATATGTCACAATCTACAGTATGCATGTATAAGAACAGGGTTCTCACCAGTGGAGGCTGGTGGGAGGAGCTATAGGAGGACAGGCTCATTGTAATGGCTGGAATGGAATAAATGGAATGGTATCAAACACATCAAACATGGAAACCATGGAAACCATATGCTTGACTCCGTTCCATTAATTCCATTTCAGCCATTACAATGAGCTCGTCCTCCTATAGGTCCTCCCACCAGCCTCCACTGGTTCTCACCCACAGTGCCCCTGTATTATAAAAGCTTTGAAGAACGTTTCTAGTTTCTACAATGGCCTTTTCCAGATATTTTTGTATTGTAGCAAAACATACAGCTATCACAACTTTACAGTGATGCAGAAAGTTATGTGATACAGTCATTGTGTACTGATAATGGGACCTTTTTAAACAGTGATACCACATCTGTGATTCCTCTCTGCCTTTTTATCTCTTGTGTGTTTTAATGTCACGTTTTGACTTGTTACTCCATGTGTTGATTTATAGAGAAATATGTTTTGTAATGAGGTTGTGCAATGCCCCCAGACAAGTGCTGGATCACTGTCAAAATGACTCTAGAATCTGATTCTCAAAAAGAATAAGGCAGCAAAACAACATGGAAACCCACCATGGCCACTATCAGTAGCCAGACGTTGACCAACGTTGCAGATAGAAATGCCACGAGCAGAGCCGACATGACTCCTTGTTCTACATTTTTTTTTAGAGAGGCATGTTTGTTCTACATGTATTTCTATCTGAATGTTCCACAACGGGTCATTCTGAATGCACCCCGTGTCGACGTTGTGTTTTGTAAGGGAAATGAGGTGTAATGTACGCACGTGTTGGGAAATAAACTTTGGACATTTGTAACTATGGGGATCTCCTATCTACTAACAAGGGGTACGTCCCAAATGGCACCCTATAACCTTTATAGTGTCCCAAATGGCACCCTATAACCTTTATAGTGTCCCAAATGGCACCCTATAACCTTTATAGTGTCCCAGATGGCACCCTATAACCTTTATAGTGTCCCAAATGGCACCCTATAACCTTTATAGTGTCCCAAATGGCACCCTATAACCTTTATAGTGTCCCAGATGGCACCCTATAACCGTTATAGTGTCCCAAATGGCACCCTATAACCTTTATAGTGTCCCAAATGGCACCCTATAACCTTTATAGTGCACTACTTTTGCACAGACCTGATACTGGCCTTCTGTACTGTGTACTGACTCAGCCTGAAATAGTTCCGCTGGGTAAATAAGTAAAGCTGTGGCATTTTTTTTTTTTTAAAGGTTGCATGGCAGAGTCTCAGAATTGATTTTAATTGGCCATGCCATGTGTGTTCTAATTTAGCTTTTGCTACGCATGGCACTCATTACAGAAGAGGTTTGTTACTATGGGGATCTCCTATCTAATAACAAGGTGTGTCCCCCCAAGTGGCACCCAATAACCTTAATAGTGCACTACTTCCGCCCAGAGCCCTGGTCACTACAGAGAATAGGGTGCCTTTTGGGATGCAAGCCTAGGCCATGCGTCAGGTATGGGGAGCACTCTGTCAATAGGATTCATACTTTTAGCAGCAGGGCAGAGAAACACCAGAATAACCTCACCTGATGCCATCAGAGCAGGTACCTGAAGGTGACCTGATAATTTTTTTTTTTTTAAATGTACTACTGTCTCCATGGACACCAACCACTAATTCAATCTTCCTCTGTGTTGACCTACTGTGAGATGAGGTAACTAAGGTACAGTACTGGAAACAGGAACTATCTTGTAGGTGGGGTTGATTCATTAGTGCACACTGTAGCAAAACATTTTTGCAATGAGAATGAGCGTTTCTTATTGAACAAGATCTGGTAGTCTCTCCCCCGTTTGCTTCCATTTGGTTCCTAGTGAATGTACCCCCTGGCCTGAAATATCTCAGTATTGTAGGTGGGGTTGTTGGGAGGTCCAGAACCAATAAAATAAACCAATGGTCACGTTTCCATGCAGCCTTGAAGAATCTTCTTTGCGCTATAACATTCACATACATCCCGTGTTCATCTCATGTAAGACACTTGGACAAAGTGATTTCATCACAGTTCAAACCTTTTTTTTTTTATTCACATTAAATCTGCTCTCATATGATTTATTTTATGTACAGAAAGGTGCTTTACCAGTACAGGAACACGTATGTGTGTATCTGTTGTAGAAAATGGTGGCTGTGTTGGGATTGTGTGTAATCCTTTATACATAGGGTATGTTGTCACAGATCAAGCACAGTAATAGTAGTATAGTGTTCGGAACAACGGAGGATGAAGCCCTACAGAGTGAAATGTGGTCAGTTGAGACAGTTGAGACACTCGTGAACACAGCCTGAGCGAGCAATTCATCATGCACCTTCTCCTTATTAATTCAAACACTATCTCTCTCTCCCATGCCTGATCCGGACTACTGGATACAGGGTTCTCCACTATGTTATCATTTAAGGGCATGTTTTGTTCTAGATTGCAGGAAATGGCAGTTACAGGTATTCAGAAAGAGTACTCAGCAGCACCACTTTGTTAATAAAATCCTTGTGTTGTCCTACTTAATATATGTTCAGTGTAGTATGCAGCAGCACCAAATAAATGGCATTTATCTCCTCTCATTCAACAACTATTTTATTCTGCTGATCACAGCAGATAAAGCGCAATAGGTATGATGCAAAGCCTAGAATTTCCAAAGGCAACTTTTTTTTCTGTAAACCAATCAGCATGCAGCTTTAGTTAGTGCCAACGTTGCCCTAGTGCATTCATTCTCAGAGGGGGAGAATGAATTAAATGACCAAAAAGGATGTATGCTTTGTGAGCTTTTTCTGATTCTTATAAGTTGACATCTCTCACCTCATAAATACAAAATAACATTTGATCCTTTCATCATCTTCTCTGAACAATTATTGGAAAGAATGTCTGACATCTCAGAATTTAAGGCAATTTGCCACCAACTATATTCTTAATTTGAAGTGCTGAGACTTAAGTACTCAACACTTCTGAGGATTGTCTGTAAAGGTTGGAGAGAGGAACACATTTTCACTGCACTCAACTAAAAAGGTGATACGTAATGACTACAGCAATGTTACGTGAAAATAAGAAAAAGACCAGCTTATCTCAAAAACATCTTCTTAAAACTGTGTCCTAAATACTCTCCTAAAGATCTTGAATGTTACCGATAGACTACTGTTTATGTAAAACAATGTGTCCATAAAACAAGAAAAAGTGTTTGTTGTTAAAGCATTAATGGAGGCTTTTAAAATCATTACTTTGAAGATAGAGATAGAGGCTGTGTCCCAACTGGCAGCCTATTCCCTATAAAGTGCACTACGTTTGACCAGGGCCTTATATAGGGACTAGGGTGTCATTTGGGACCCAGACCTAGTGGTAGTCTGGGTACTAGACTATTTATGCTCTCTACAATGTTACATAATCTTCTTTCCAAAGACAGGAACACTGTCTGGCACCCAGGCTAAGATACTGGCACCCAGGCTAAGATACTGGCACCCAGGCTAAGATACTGGCACCCAGGCTAAGATACTGGCACCCAGGCTAAGATACTGGCACCCAGGCTAAGATACTGGCACCCAGGCTAAGATACTGGCACCCAGGCTAAGATACTGGCACCCAGGCTAAGATACTGGCACCCAGGCTAAGATACTGGCACCCAGGCTAAGATACTGGCACCCAGGCTAAGATACTGGCACCCAGGCTAAGATACTGCCACATAACTAAATAAAATCAAGTATTAAGTCAAATAAATAAATAAGGAAAATGATTCTTTATAAAAATAAGTTAAATGATTGAACTATATACAATTAACTCCCAACCGCACACCTTTTTCTTATCAAACAGGCAGAAATATAGGCTCTCTCTCTCCCTCCCTCTCCCCTAATCTTTATTTGTCTCGTCCTGTTCCTCCAGTACTGCAGTGATTGAACTAAATGAGAGCGTGTGTAGTAGCAGATGTGTCATTGTCATGGACAGAAGAACCCCCAGGCTCCACTCCTCCCTCAGCACCACTCCTAATCATTAGTGGGCGTGTGATCCCCCAGAGCTGGGAGGCACCGTACTCCCCCCACCCCCTCCTCTGTGTCCATGCCTGCCGTCTTTCCCATGTCCTAGAATGCAGTGTGCACTTCCACAGCCCTCGTCGCCGTCATCTCCCTCGCTTTCAGAGGAGGACTCTCCGAACTGTTTGGGCTTCTCGTAGACGCAGCAACCTGTGGGGGTGTCAAGAATACTCAGTCATCAGACACCAAAAATATCTAGAACTGCAGCATGCATAGGCCTACATGTAATTAACCTCATCCCCAGGTTCCATATCTATCGCAGAGAGCCAGCTGGGAAGATGAGAGAACAGATAACTGCATTTAAACAGTCAGAAATAAAGTGGGAAATGGACACTCACACTTGGAGGACCTCCTTCCCAGATGTTCGTTGTCCACTGTGTCGCTGGACCACTCCACCTTCTTGTCAGTCTTCCTCTTCCTCAGCTTGATAGTCAGGCTACGTCCCTCCTGAGAGACACGCAGAGAGGAGCCAATGTTTGAGATTCACCTTCATACACATAACAGGCATTGGGTGTTTCTCTTGTCAACGGAGTAATGTAGCCAGTCAACATCACATTTGCTTGTACTGCTGGCAATGTACTAAACTTGACAACTAGGCTAGATCGAGTGAAGTGAGATCAAATAATTTCACCATGATTGTATGAGCTAGCTAACGGTTATTATGGCTAAAATAATTAGCTAGCTCCAATCTCATGATGCATATTGGACTCGCTAACAAACAGCCTAGTCGTTATCTTCCATGATCATATCATTCGCTAATTATAGCAGTTTCTATAGCTAGCTTACCTGCAGGGGCGGTGGAGGTGTGTTAATTTGAACGGTCTCCGTTATCGTCTCGCTAGAAGTACCTGGCGCCTCGGCCATCCTGATATTAACTTGTCGGTTTTGAGCTCGCACCAGCTGTCAGCAAGGGAAATGTCAACTGACGTTATTTTATGAACAACAATCACTCGGTTTCTTCAATCCGCCACGTCGAATTAAACGTGATCAACCCTGTCTAGCTAACAGACTCCTCGTTGGATATTCGACGAGAAGATGTTTGGGAAGTAACTCCCAGACGGACCCCTTCCGGTTGCTCTCCGCACAAACGAGTCCGGTGGGGAACATAGAGCATGTTGCGCTACTCCTATGGTTGTGACACGAAATAAATAGTTAGTCAAGGAGAAACAGTAAAATCTGTTTAGGTTATCAATTCTACATCATTCATAAAGTGTTTGATAAGGTGTCAAAGAAATTACAATTAAGATATAGTGAACAAATTAGTTCATTCTTCGTTAGGTCGTAGTTGAAAGGTCGAAGCTAGTTAAACATGTCGGCGCCTACGAGCACATCATCTTGAAGGTACGGTAAATGTTATGTATTATTTCAACAGCACTCAATCACCATATATTATTATGAGTATGACTATAAAACAGCAACGTTGTAGAGTGACAGATGTCTCTGAAGAGGTGCATTTAAAATATTATTCTCTAGAGTCTATTTGACCCCAATGTATCACCTAACGTTAGCTACAATTCTCGTTCATGCACTTATCCAGGCAGCGTAAATAGCAAACAGAAAGCAAATGCCTAGACCCATGGCATGTTTGAAATAGATGATTGGAATGGATTTTAAAATGTATTTTCAATTTTTCCAATGAAGGGGATCATAGACTCATGTAGTCTGTGGGAAATCAGTGGCTGCCTTATTTGCTTTACTTTCATTTTCTCTTGATTTGTTTTGCAGGAGATGTGGAGGTCCACTTGTGGCCTCTCTGTGAGGGCAGCAGAGAGGGCAGTACACAGAAAATGGTCACGCAGGCTCTATTCTCACAATGCGGCAAAACCTCCTCCTCAATCAACTCCCGTTCTCCGGACCCAGGCTGAGAAAGAGAGGCGGAGGAGAGATAAGGAGAAGGCCATACTGAGCGGTCAACACAATGTAGGTGACCTCACTCCTAGTTAGTGGACTCTTACACATAACAAACCAAGACATAGACTTCTTTTTTTATCTGAAAGTTAAATCCATGCCATTTTCAGAATGTTGAAGATCAAGGAATGAAATGGAGTGAGAAAGAGAGGATAGCGTACAGTGCTTCAACGGCTCTTGGGGAAAAGAAAGGTAATGAATGTCCTAAAGACTTTAGTGATGGAGGAAAAAATAGATACAGTTACATATCGGGATATTATTTTTGACTATATATCGTATCGTTTTGACAATATCGCAATCATATTTTTTGCGCTAGTTGGTAAAACTCCAGTATTTTACCTTCATAGCTTGTTCTCCATCTTCTTTTTAAAAGGGAGCCAATTTATTTTCAGCACTTTTATTTCCATGACTGATCAAAACTAGTTTTCTCATGGCTCTCTCTTGTCCCTCTGCAGCAGACATATGGTGAGCAATATGTTTGGAACATCAAATCTCAATAAAATCACAGTATCGAATCGTGAGAATCGCAATACATATCGTATCGGATCCAAAGTGTCGTAATAATATCGTATCGTGAGGTCCCTGGCAATTCCTAGCCCTGTCATGAACGCAGAGATCAGGCTGGTTTCACTAGGATAATACAGCAAGTAGTCTTTTCAAGCACTCGCTTGCTCCGTTGCCACTCTCTCGCTAAATACATTCCTATGTTCTTATTCACCCTGACCGTCCTTTGTTAGACACCACCCTGCCCTTCCCTTCATCCTACAGTCCTGAGTATGTGGAGACCAGCTGGTACGAGTGGTGGGAGAAAGAAGGTTTCTTCACCCCAGAGATCCATGTAAGAGAATCAAGCATTATAATAAAGCCATACTTTAAATTGCCTGATGATGCCCCCATGTTAGAAACAATAAATAAAGATAATACAGATCTAAAATGTGATAGTGCTCTAATAATTATATTTATTCTAATGCCCGTGTTTGTTTTAAAAATCAACATTTAGGACAGACTGCCACATGCTGTGAATCGTTCCTTCTCCATGTGTATCCCTCCGCCGAATGTGACTGGCACCCTGCACCTCGGCCATGCACTCACAGTTGCCATAGAGGATGCATTGGCTCGCTGGTAACTATTTCTCACCAACAATAATGGAATCAGTTGGATAGAGATGTTTCTGTTTGGCTGAAATGAAATGGCACATGTTTGATAAAAGTCACCACATCAAATTCCTATCAGTCATATGAAAACTCTGAGCTGAAATAAATGTGATGCTTTTTGAATGGCTCATGTATTTGACATGTTTTAGGAGATCTGGTTAAATGTATTGTTGTATTGATTGAATATGTGGTTGTATCAGGAGGAGGATGCAGGGCTACAAAGTTCTTTGGGTACCAGGCTGTGACCATGCAGGCATCGCTACACAGGTAAGTGTCTCCCTGACCTGGCTATCCATATTATCTTTCACATTCGCTTCTCTTTCAAGCTATATATAAAAACAATTGTCCAACCTTCTGGTCTTAATCTCAGACGGTGGTAGAGAGGAGGTTGTTTAGGGAACGAGGGAAGCGAAGACAGGACCTCAGCAGGGAGGAGTTTCTAAAGGAGGTGTGGACGTGGAAGAAAGAGTGAGTATGAGGTCCCTTTCAGTCTTCTCTTATTGTCTGTCTCTCTCTCTCTCTCTCTCTCTCTCTCTCTCTCTCTCTCTCTCTCTCTCTCTCCTCTCTCTCTCTCTCTCTCTCTCTCTCTGTCTCTGTCTCTCTCCTCTCCTCTCTCTCTTCTCTCTCTCTCTCTCCTCGCTCCTCTCCTCTCTCTCTCTCTCTCTCTCTCTCTCCTCTTCTCTCTCTCCTCCTCTCGTTCTCTCTCTCTCTCTCTCTCTCTCTCTCTCTCTCTCTCTCTCTCTTCTTCTCTGCCTGCTCTTCTCTACTTTCCACTGTCATTAGTAGAATCCTACAACTATCCATCTTCTTAATGAGATAAAGCAAGTTGATTACATTTTCATATTTTGTCTGTGTGTTCCAGGAAGGGTTCTGTCTGTGTGTTCCAGGAAGGGTTCTGTCTGTGTGTTCCAGGAAGGTTCTGTCGTGTGTTCCAGGAAGGGTTCTGTCTGTGTGTTCCAGGAAGGGTTCTGTCTGTGTGTTCCAGGAAGGATTCTGTCTGTAGTTCCAGGAAGGGTTTCTGTCTGTGTGTGTTCCAGGAAGGATTCTGTCTGTGTTTTTCCAGGAAGGATTCTGTCTGTGTGTTCCAGGAAGGATTATGTCTGTGTGTTCCAGGAAGGGTTCTGTCTGTGTGTTCCAGGAAGGGTTCTGTCTGTGTGTTCCAGGAAGGATTCTGTCTGTGTGTTCCAGGAAGGATTCTGTCTGTGTGTTCCAGGAAGGGTTCTGTCTGTGTGTTCCAGGAAGGGTTCTGTCTGTGTGTTCCAGGAAGGATTCTGTCTGTGTGTTCCAGGAAGGGTTCTGTCTGTGTGTTCCAGGAAGGATTCTGTCTGTGTGTTCCAGGAAGGATTCTGTCTGTGTGTTCCAGGAAGGATTCTGTCTGTGTGTTCCAGGAAGGATTCTGTCTGTGTGTTCCAGGAAGGGTTCTGTCTGTGTGTTCCAGGAAGGATTCTGTCTGTGTGTTCTAGTACGGGTTCTGTCTGTGTGTTCCAGGAAGGGAGAGGAGATCTATCACCAGCTGAGGGAACTTGGTGCGTCTCTGGACTGGAGCAGAGCCTGCTTCACCATGGATCCAGTAAGACAGTACTATTACACTACAACAACACACACTCAGTGGCCTTTTGGTTAGTGTCCACCCTAAGATTGGAAGGTTGGGAGTTCGATCACCAGCCAAGTCATACCAAAGACTGTAAAGATGGGACCCTATGTATCTCTGCTTAGCACTCAGCATTAAGGAAATAGATTGGGGATAAGGCCCTGCGATAGACTAGTGTCCTGTCCAGGGGGTGTACATCACTCTACAGAAACAGGAGATAGACTAGTGTCCTGTCCAGGGGGTGTACATCACTCTACAGAACAGGAGATAGACTAGTGTCCTGTCCAGGGGGTGTACATCACTCTACAGAAAACAGGAGATAGACTAGTGTCCTGTCCAGGGGGTGTTACATCACTCTACACAGAAACAGGAGATAGACTAGTGTCCCTGTCCAGGGGGTGTACATCACTCTACAGAACAGGAGATATACTAGTGTCCTGTCCAGTGGGGTGTACATCACTCCTACACGAAACAGGAGATAGACTAGTGTCCGTCCAGGGGTGTACATCACTCTACAGAAACAGGAGATAGACTAGTGTCCTGTCCAGGGGGTGTACATCACTCTACAGAACAGGAGATATACTAGTGTCCTGTCCAGGGGGTGTACATCACTCTACACAGAAACAGGAGATAGGACTTAGTGGTCCTGTCCAGGGGGTGTACATCACTCTACAGAAACAGGAGATAGACTAGTGTCCTGTCCAGGGGGTGTACATCACTCTACAGAAACAGGAGATAGACTAGTGTCCTGTCCAGGGGGTGTACATCACTCTACAGAAACAGGAGATAGACTAGTGTCCTGTCCAGGGGGTGTACATCACTCTACAGAAACAGGAGATAGACTAGTGTCCTGTCCAGGGGGTGTACATCACTCTACAGAAACACGAGAAGAGTAACTAGTGTCCTGTCCAGGGGGTGTACATCACTCTACACAGAAACAGGAGATAGACTAGTGTCCTGTCCAGGGGGTGTACATCACTCTACAGAAACAGGAGATAGACTAGTGTCCTGTCCAGGGGGTGTACATCACTCTACACAGAAACAGGAGATAGACTAGTGTCCTGTCCAGGGGGTGTACATCACTCTACACAGAAACAGGAGATAGACTAGTGTCCTGTCCAGGGGGTGTACATCACTCTACACAGAAACAGGAGATAGACTAGTGTCCTGTCCAGGGGGGTGTACATCACTCTACACAGAAACAGGAGATAGACTAGTGTCCTGTCCAGGGGGTGTACATCACTCTACACAGAAACAGGAGATAGACTAGTGTCCTGTCCAGGGGGTGTACATCACTCTACAGAAACAGGAGATAGACTAGTGTCCTGTCCAGGGGGTGTACATCACTCTACACAGAAAACAGGAGATAGACTAGTGTCCTGTCCAGGGGGTTGTACATCACTCTACACAGAAACAGGAGATAGACTAGTGTCCTGTCCAGGGGGTGTACATCACTCTACACAGAAACAGGAGATAGACTAGTGTCTGTCCAGGGGTGTACATCACTCTACAGAAACAGGAGATAGATAGTGTCCTGTCCAGGGGGTGTACATCACTCTACAGAAACAGGAGATAGACTAGTGTCCTGTCCAGGGGGGTGTACATCACTCTACACAGAAACAGGAGATAGATAGTGTCCTGTCCAGGGGGTACATCACTTACAGAAACAGGAGATAGACTAGTGTCCTGTCCAGGGGTGTACAATCACTCTACAAAACAGGAGATAGACTAGTGTCCTGTCCAGGGGGTATACATCACAGGAGATGTACTGTGTGCCAGTACACCAAGGGTCTGCCTCACGCTACAGAAACAGGAACCAAGTCTCGTCTACTTATTTATATACCACACTGTTACTGTAGTATTAGTAACATGATTTCATTATTATATACAGTAGTATGTTATGTTACTGTATTATTATTATTACTGTAGTATTAGTAACATGATTTCATTATTATATACAGTAGTATGTTATGTTACTGTATTATTATTATTACTGTAGTATTAGTAACATGATTTCATTTTTATATACAGTAGTATGTTATGTTACTGTATTATTATTATTATTATTGTACTATTAGTAACATTATTTCATTTTTATATACGTATGTTATCTTAGTGTCCGTTCCAGTATCATCTGCTCAGCTCTTTCTTCCTGTGTGTGTGTGTGTGTGTGTGTGTGTGTGTGTGTGTGTGTGTGTGTACCTTTGTGTGTGGGTATTTTCAGGGCTTCAGCAGTGCTGTGTCCGAGGCCTTTGTAAGGCTGTGTGACTCTGGTCTGGTCTATCGCTCTGAGGGGCTGGTCAACTGGAGCTGTGCTCTGGAGTCAGCCATCTCTGATATAGAGGTTAGTCTACCATCTCTGATATAGAGGTTAGTCTGCCATCTCTGATATAGAGGTTAGTCTACCATCTCTGATATAGAGGTTAGTCTGCCATCTCTGATATAGAGGTTAGTCTACCATCTCTGATATATAGGTTAGTCTGCCATCTCTGATATAGAGGTTAGTCTACCATCTCTGATATAGTGGTCTGCCATCTCTGATATAGAGGTTAGTCTGCCATCTCTGATATAGAGGTTAGTCTACCATCTCTGAGATAGAGGTTAGTCCTAACCATCTCTGATATAGTGGTTTTGCCATCTCTGATATAGAGGTTAGTCTGCCATCTCTGATATAGAGGTTAGTCTGCCATCTCTGATATAGAGGTTAGTCTGCCATCTCTGATATAGAGGTTAGTCTGCCATCTCTGATATAGAGGTTAGTCTACCACTCTGATATAGTGGTCTGCATCTCTGATATAGAGGTTAGTCTGGCCATCTCTGATATAGAGGTAGTCTGCCATCTCTGATATAGAGGTTGTCTGCCATCTCTGATATAGAGGTAAGTCTGCCATCTCTGATATAGAGGTTAGTCTACACTCTGATATATTTGGGCTGCCATCTCTGATATAGAGGTTAGTCTGCCATCTCTGATATAGAGGTTAGTCTGTCATCTCTGATATAAGGTTAGTCTGCCTCTCTGATATAGAGGTTAGTCTGCCATCTCTGATTAAGGTTTTGTCCGTCATCTCTGATATAGAGGTTAGTTTTGCCATCTCTGATATAGAGTTAGTCTCATCTCTGATATAGAGGTTGTCTAACATCCCGATTAAAGGTTAGTCTGGGCCCTCTTTTGATATAGAGGTTAGTCTGCCATCTCGAATAGAGGTTAGTCCTGTCATCTCTGATATCGAGGTTAGTCTGTCATCCTCCCGATATAGAGTTTGTCACATCTCTGATAGAGAGGTAGTCTGCCTCTTGATATAGAGGTTAGTCTTGCATCTCTGATATAGAGGTTAGTCTATCTCTGATATAGAGGTTATCTCCATCTCTGATATAGAGGTTAGTGCTGTCCATCTCCTGATATAGAGGTTAGTCTGCCATCTCTGATATTGTGTTAGTCTGCCACCTCTGATATAGAGGTTAGTCTGCCATCCTCTGATATAGAGTGTTAGTCCCCCTGCCATCTCGATATTGAGGTTAGTCTGCCATCCTCTGATATAGAGGTTAGTCTGTCATCTCTGATATAGAGGTTTAGTCTGCCATCTCTGATATAGAGGTTAGTCTGCCACTTCTGATATAGATGTTTAGTCTGCCATCTCTGATATAGAGGTTAGTCCTGCCATCTCTGATATAGAGGTTAGTCCTGTCATCTCTGATATAGAGGTTAGTCTGCCATCTCTGATATAGAGGTTAGTCTACCATCTCTGATATAGAGGTTAGTCTGCCATCTCTGATATAGAGGTTAGTCTGTCATCTCTGATATAGAGGTTAGTCTGTCATCTCTGATATAGAGGTTAGTCTGCCATCTCTGATATAGAGGTTAGTCTGTCATCTCTGATATATAGGTTAGTCTGCCATCTCTGATATAGAGGTTAGTCTACCATCTCTGATATAGAGGTTAGTCTGTCATCTCTGATATATAGGTTAGTCTGTCATCTCTGATATAGAGGTTAGTCTGCCATCTCTGATATATAGGTTAGTCTGCCATCTCTGATATAGTGGTCTGCCATCTCTGATATAGAGGTTAGTCTGCCATCTCTGATATAGTGGTCTGCCATCTCTGATATAGAGGTTAGTCTGCCATCTCTGATATAGAGGTTAGTCTACCATCTCTGATATAGAGGTTAGTCTACCATCTCTGATATAGAGGTTAGTCTGCCATCTCTGATATAGTGGTCTGCCATCTCTGATATAGAGGTTAGTCTGCCATCTCTGATATAGAGGTTAGTCTTGCCATCTCTGATATAGAGGTTAGTCTGTCCATCTCCGTATAGAGGTTAGCTTGGCCATCTCTGATATAGAGGTTAGTCCCGCCATCTCTGATATAGAGGTTATCTGGCCATCTCTTGATATAGTGGTTAGTCTGCCATCTCTGATATAGTGGTTAGTCTGTCATCTCTGATATAGAGGTTAGTCTGCCATCTCTGATATAGAGGTTAGTCTACCATCTCTGATATAGTGGTCTGCCATCTCTGATATAGAGGTTAGTCTGCCATCTCTGATATAGTGGTTAGTCTGTCATCTCTGATATAGAGGTTAGTCTGTCATCTCTGATATATAGGTTAGTCTGCCATCTCTGATATAGAGGTTAGTCTACCATCTCTGATATAGAGGTTAGTCTGCCATCTCTGATATAGAGGTTAGTCTGCCATCTCTGAGATAGAGGTTAGTCTGTCATCTCTGATATAGTGGTTAGTCTGCCATCTCTGATATAGAGGTTAGTCTGTCATCTCTGATATAGAGGTTAGTCTTACCTAGAAAATGAGACCCTTACTGTTCGTGTGTTAGCATGTCACGTTAGCAACAGCATCATCTTTGCTATGTGTTACAGAGCATGTTGTACAGCTTCAGTTTGCACAATTTATTGTCCGCAGTTAAACATGATTTTATTTTCAAAATGTAAACTTTGATGTATATTTGAGAGATGTATTGATGCTGTCAACAGGTTGACTCCAAGCAGCTGTCTGGAAGAACCATGTTGTCTGTCCCTGGCTACCAGAAAATGGTGGAGTTTGGGACCATGGTCACCTTTACCTACCCTATAGACGGCCAGGGTGAGTGGTTGGTCTGAGTTCCAAATGGCACCCTATTTAGGGCTCTGGACAAAAGTAGTGCACAACATAGGGTGCTGTTTGGGACGCGGTACCTTAGTAACTGGGACGTGATCCTCCTTGATGTCTGCTGTTCTCTTCCCTGTTGTTTATACTCCCTCTTTCTATCTATTAGATGGAGAGGTGGCGGTGTCGACCACTCGTCCTGAGACCATGTTGGGAGATGTGGCCATCGCTGTGCATCCTGACGACCCTCGATATCAGGCTAGTATACTTAGATTAAAATGATTTACCCATACACGTTGGTGTTGTAGTCAAACACAAACACAGAAAATGTATTTGTCTTTTACAGTTGAAGTTGGAAGTTTACATACACCTTTAGCCAAATACATTTAAACTCAGTTTTTCACAATTCCTCACATTTAATCCTAGTAAAAAAGTCCCTGTTTTAGGTCAGTTAGGATCACCACTTTATTTTGAGAATGTGAAATGTCAAAATAATAGTAGAGAGAATGATTTATTTCAGCTTTTATTTATTTCATCACATTCCCAGTGGGTCAGAAGTTTACATACACTCAATTAGTATTTGGTAGCATTGCCTTTAAAGTGTTTAACTTGGGTCAAACGTCTCGGGTAGCCTTCTACAGGCTTCCCACAATAAGTTGGGTGAATTTTGGCCCATTCCTCCTGACAGAGCTGGTGTAACTGAGTCAGGTTTGTAGGGGTCCTTGCTCGCACACGCTTTTTCAGTGCTGCCCACACATTTTCTATAGGATTGAGGTCAGGGATTTGTGATGGCCACTCCAATACCTTGACTTTGTTGTCCTTAAGCCATTTTGCCACAACTTTGGAAGTATGCTTGGGGTCATTGTCCATTTGGAAGACCCATTTGCGACCAAGCTTTAACTTCCTGACTGATGTCTTGAGATGTTGCTTCAATATATCCACATAATTTTCCTTCCTCATGATGCTACTCTGTTAATTATTTATGCATAGTCACTTTAACTCTACCCACATGTACATATTACCTCAACTACCTCAACTAGCCGGTGCCCCTGCACATTGACTCTGCACCGGTACCCCCGTATATAGCCTCCCTACTGTTATTTTATTTTACTTCTGCTCTTTTTTTCTCAACAATTTGTTGTTGTTGTTTTATTTTACTTTTTTATTAAGAAATAAATGCATTGTTGGTTAAGGGCTGTAAGTAAGCATTTCACGGTAATGTCTACACCTGTTGTATTCGGCGCAGGTGGCAAATCAAAGTTGATTTGATTTGATGCCATCTATTTTGTGAAATGCACCAGTCCCTCCTGCAGCACAGCACCCCCACAGCATGATGCTGCCACCCCCGTGCTTCACGGTTGGGATGGTGTTCTTCGGCTTGCAAGCAACCCCCTTTTTCCTCCAAACATAACGATGCTCATTATGGACAAAAAGTTATATTTTTGTTTAATCAGACCAGAGGACATTTCTCCAAAAAGTACGATCTTTGTCCCCATGTGCAGTTGCAAACTGTAGTCTGGCTTTTTTATGGCGGTTTTAGAGCAGTGGCTTCTTCCTTGCTGAGCGGCCTTTCAGGTTATGTTGATATAGACTCGTTTTACTGTGGCTATAGATACTTTTGTACCTGTTTCCTCCAGCATCTTCACAAGGTCCTTTGCTGTTGTTCTGGGATTGATTTGCACTTTTCGCACCAAAGTACGTTCATCTCTAGGAGACAGAACGCGTCTCCTTCCTGAGCGGTATGACGGCTGCGTGGTCCCATGGTGTTTATACTTGCCTACTATTGTTTGTACAGATCAACGTGGTACCTTCAGGCGTTTGGAAATTGATCCCAAGGATGAACCAGACTTGTGGAGGTCTACAACTCTTTTTCTGAGGTCTTGGCTGATTTATTTTGATTTTCCCATGATGTCAAGCAAAGAGGCACTGAGTTTGAAGGTAGGCCTTGAAATACATCCACAGGTACACCTCCAATTGACTCAAGTGATGTCAATTAGCCTATCAGAAGCTTCTAAAGCCATGACATAATTTTCTAGAATTTTCCAAGCTGTTTAAAGGCACAGTCAACTTAGTGTATGTAAACTTCTGACCCACTGGAATTGTGATACAGTGAATTATAAGTGAAATAATATGTCTGTAAACAACCGTTGGAAAAATGACTTGTCATGCACAAAGTAGATGTCCTAACCGACTTGCCAAAACTATAGTTTGTTAACAAGAAATGTGTGGAGTGGTTGAAAAAACGAGTTTTAATGACTCCAACCTAAGTGTATGTAAACTTCCGACTTCAACTGTATCTAGGACTTCTTCTAAATGTATCACTACTATTTGTCTTCCAGGCAGTTCATGGTAAACAGTGCAGACACCCCTTCACTGACAGACTCTTACCCATCATCACTGACACTATGGTGGATATGGAGCTGGGCACAGGTACATGAACGGTCTCGTTGCTCTGACTGGATGTACATAGATAATCATTTTATGGAATTTGAAGACCAACGCGTCAGGAACAAGAACAAGCTAGTTATGCTAAAGGCTGTGTTAGTGTTATTACAACCAACACTACTTCTTTATTGTTCTGTCTGTCTGTCGTCTCTGTCTCTGTCTCTGTCTCTGTCTCTCTCTCTGTCTCTCTCTCTCTGTCTGTCTCTCTGTCTCTCTGTCTCTGTCTCTCTGTCTCTGTCTGTCTGTCTCTGTCTGTCTCTCTGTCTGTCTGTCTGTCTGTCTGTCTGTCTTTCTCAGGCGCTGTAAAGGTTACTCCAGCTCACGACTACACTGACTTCCTGCTTTCCCAGAGGCACTCTCTTCCCCGCCTCACTGTGATTGGAGGAGACGGCACAATGACTACTCTCTGTGGCCAATGGCTGGAGGTACACTATCTTATCCAGACGTTGTTGTCCGTTTCTGGTCTGTCTGTCAGTTCTCTAATAGCTGAGAGATCTAAGATATCTCATCTTTCTGTCTCTCCATCACACTCCTCTTCTCAGGGAGTGAAGCGTTTTGATGCCAGAGAACAAGTGATCGATGCACTGATAGAGAAGAGGATGTTCAGAGGGAAAAAGGATCACACCATGTCTTTACCCGTCTGCAGGTAGAGGGAGACACATTCACTGTGTCTCTACATCTATGCATGTGTCTGTCCCCTCTCTCTTTAGACAGAAATGGTATTCCAATCACATAATGTAGTGCCCTAATAATGTAGTGCCCTAATAATGTAGTGCCCTAATAATGTAGTGCCCTAATAATGTAGTGCCCTAATAAATCAAACTCCGATTCTGGGGTAAGTCAAAAACATGATTATTTTTGCAGTGAAAGAATCTGTTTTCAAGTTAAATGAATCACCACATTCAGAATTGCTGGCCAAAAGAAATTATTTTTGTCAGTTATCCCAGAACCTGTTTTGATTTAGGCAATAATCTAATATGTGAACACATTAGATGTAGGTTAGATGTAGGTTACCTGCTGTTCATCAAGAATGCCCATCTCCTGTAATTTCACATAGGAACTCGATCAGTTACCCAAAATGAACTGAATAACAGAAAACAGATAACATCAGGATCCTCAGGATCTTGTTTCCCATCCTACTTTTGACACCATAGAGTAAAGGCCACACCCAGTTGCTATGGTAAAGCTATTTTGTCTTATTCTGCTAAATATTTATCTTGTCCTCTTTCCCCCTCCTGTCTTTCAGTCGCTCTGGGGATGTCATTGAACCTTTGTTGAAGAAGCAGTGGTTTGTGCGTTGTGAAGAGATGGCCCAGAGAGCCATACAGGTCATTTGACTTTCTCTTTGTGTTGTAGTATTTGCATGTAGGTCACTAGGTCTGTCTCAAATGGCACCCTATTCCCAACATAGTGCACTACTTTTAACCATTGCCCTATGTAGGTCAGAGGGTCTGTCTTTTGATCATTTGAACATGTCAATGAAGTGGATGTAATGCATAGCACTGGCTCTCTCTGTCTCTCTCTCTCAATTTCTATTTCAATTTAAGAGCTTTATTGGCATGGGAAACATATGTTTACATTGCCAAAGCAAGTGAAATAGATAATAAACAAAAGTGAAATAAACAAGAAAATATTAACAGTAAACATTACTCACAAAAGTTCCAAAAGAAAAAAGACATTTCAAATGTCATATTATGTCTATATACAGTGTTGTAATGATGTGCAAATAGTTAAAGTACAAATGGGAAAATAAAGATCCCTCTCTTTTTCTCTGTCTCTGTCTCTGTCTCTGTCTCTGTCTCTGTCTCTGTCTCTGTCTCTGTCTCTGTCTCTCTCTCTCTCTCTCTCTCTCTCTCTCTCTCTCTCTCTCTCTCTCTCTCTCTCTCTCTCTCCTCTCTCCTCTCTCTCTCTCTCTCTCTCTCTCTCTCACTCAGGCAGTGGATGAGGGACAGTTGGAGATCATTCCTCACTTCTACACCAAAACATGGAGTAGCTGGCTCTCCAACATCAGGTTACTACTTTTCTAAAGATCCCAGGTTCCCCAAAAAACCTGACTGGAAGATTCCCGGAATGAAGAAGAGGGAATCAGCAGGAAATCTGGAATCTTCCAAGCAGGATGTCAGTCAGATTTGGATTTACATTCCAAACTCAACTGTGATCAGTGAACAATAGTGTGACGTGTGATAGAAGCAACAACAGGCCTGTTAGTTTGTCTTACTGCTGGACTGGCTGACGTCAGTGCCTAGCAACACCAGGCCCTGACATCTTTACTGTTGCTCTCTGACCCCTGGTTCTATTACACTGATGTCATAAAATAGTCCTTGTTATGACTTATGTGGTTTTAACAATGTGATGTCTGTTTTGTGTTTTCCACATCAGTGATTGGTGCATTTCCAGGCAGCTTTGGTGGGGTCATCAGATTCCAGCTTATCGAGTGACTCTCCCAGATTCTACTGACACACAGGAGGTGCACTGCATGTTTCAAGCTGGGTTTCACACTCTCACAGGTCACACTTGTCACCTGATGCATTTAGAGGGTCATATTTCTGTATTGTAAACAACTTTATCTATTGTGTGTCTGTTATTGCCCTCAGGAGCTCTGGGTCTGGGGAAGGAGTGAGGCGGAGGCCAGAGAGCGGGCTGCTGTGAAACATGGAGTGACTGCTGACACCATTACACTGACTCAGGGTGACCGCTGACACCATTACACTGACTCAGGGTGACCGCTGACACCATTACACTGACTCAGGGTGACAGCTGACACCATTACACTGACTCAGGGTGACCGCTGACACCATTACACTGACTCAGGGTGACTGCTACTCAGGGTGACTGCTGACACCATTACACTGACTCAGGGTGACTGCTGACACATTACACTGCTCGGTGACGCTGACCATTCCTGACTCAGGGTGACTGCTGACACCATTACAACTGACTCA